AATGACATCAGCGGGTAGTACGTTTCCGCTTGCAAGTTCCAGCACGAAGATATACGTTCGTGGTGACGTCCACTTCCGCTCAATGTCACATTATTGCCGTCTAACGATCGCCCCTCCCACCCCCCCCTCGACTCGCCCTGTTCGAAACACCCTGAACGTCAAAATATCAGAAAACCTTGACACCTACTACTTTGGACAGCTCATGGCCGAGTACCCGCAGATCCTCGCCGTGTGTGACCGGCTCCTGCCCGAAGACGTGCAACGGGAGAGCAGCGGCGTGGGGGGGGCGGCCGCCGGCCCTACAGGCGCCAAGGGAGCCGCTGCTGACGCGAAGAGGAGAGAGGAATCCAAACGCAGAGCGAGGGAGGACAACGCCCACCTCAAGGCCAAGAAAAAGCAGGCTAAGAACGCCGTCAGCGTGCAAGAGACGGCCGCGGTTGCCATGCACTCAGTGGCGTCTGGACTTGGACTGCCCCCCGGCGGATTAAGCGAGCTATTTCGGCCAGCGTCCGAACCCGCCCCCGCCGCAGCACCTTCCCCGCAGAACATCGTAGATGAAAAGACCGCAAAATTGAGGTTTTTCGACACATTGTTCGAATCTTTCCAAGCCGCCACGAAAAATCTCAAACAAGCCAAAGCAGAGGCGGCAGGCGGCCACAGCGCGGCGCTAGAAATGGTCGGTTTCTGGAAAAAAATATTGCGAAGATTAGAACCGAGATGGCTGAATGGGACAAGAGTCCCCTTTGAGGGACAGCCCGCGGTCCCTCCCCGATTCCACATGTGCAAGAGCGATCGATTGTGTTTTAGTGGCGGTTGGTGTAAGATCGTTCGTGTGTGGGCGGGGGAGGGAGAGGGCAGATCACTTTCACTTGCCGTACCGTTTGCCTTTTGTCGGGTGGGTGTTTGACGAGTGCGCCACGTGTTGCACACGCATGGAGAACGCGCAGCGCACGCTCGAAGTTCGATGTTTTTTTTAGCCACGTACAGCAGTACTACTTGTTTTTTTTTTGTGAGTTTTTCACAAACCACCGCGTGCATTCGTAGATGACTAGGGGGGGGGGCACGCAGAGCGAACGTGTGGCGCACGACCAAAACTCGTTTTTTTCTAGACACGTACAGCAGTACCGCTTGTCTTTGTTTTTGGTGGTGTTTTTTACAGATGACCAGGGGGGGGGGGCACGCAGAGCGAACGTGTGGCGCACGACCAAAACTCGTTTTTTTCTAGACACGTACAGCAGTACCGCTTGTCTTTGTTTTTGGTGGTGTTTTTTACAGATGACCAGGGGGGGGGGGCACGCAGAGCGAACGTGTGGCGCACGACCAAAACTCGTTTTTTTCTAGACACGTACAGCAGTACCGCTTGTCTTTGTTTTTGGTGGTGTTTTTTACAGATGACCAGGGGGGGGGGGCACGCAGAGCGAACGTGTGGCGCACGACCCAAGTTCGTTTTGTTTTAGACACGTACAGCAGTACCACTTGCCTTTTTTTTGTGGTGTTTTTTTACAGATGACCAGGGGGGCGGGACACGCAGAGCGAACGTGTGGCGCACGACCTAAGTTCGTTTTTTTTTAGACACGTACAGCAGTACCGCTTGTTTGTTTTTGGTCGGTATGCTTTTCACCAACCACCATCTGCATTCGTAGATGCTTCGGAAACAACGTCTCCTCACGCCGCGAACTTAGTCCAAAACAACGTAAAAAACGTTTTGAACGCGGATCCATTCCCGATACCGTTATCCCGGGCTGTGGGAGCTGACCGTCTACGCCATGATGCTGTTCAGCCAACACTGTCTCCCTAGAGGCAACATCGTGAAGTCAGAAAAAAAAAACATATCTGTTACCATCTCGCATCACGCAACTATGACATGACAAAATTCCCCCACACAGGGGGGAGGGTGCTCACCCTTACCCTACACGCCAAATGTTATAAAATAAATGCGTTTGGAAACCTACATTTTTCTTCGACGTCTCTGCAATTCGAATTTTCTCGCGCAAGAGATGCACAACGCAGGAATGACACCCAAACAAACGACGTAATGAACAGCGACAATACGTATCGAAACAACACGAAATCTTACCGGATACCACTCGTAGATTACCCCGGTTTATGGTGTTTGTAACACATAAAACACGACTTCCGCAAAATTGCCCGAAACGTCCTCGCAGAGGCGCATGTGGATTTCGCGCCCGACCCTCTCCGCCCAAACAAAAAAAAACTTTCTCACCCGCCCGTGCGCCTTCCCTTCCCTTTCACCCCCCCCACGCCCTACCCCACCAAAGGCGTTGCATTCCCGACCACCATTGTCCACATCCCCCGCCCCGGCCACGGCCCACGCTCCTCAGAGGCCACCACCGCCACATTTGCCTCGTCTCGTCCATCACCCACGTAGTACGTCCTCGGGACCCACCCACCCTCCACCGCAGCCCGCCCGCGTTCGACCCCTTACGTCTTCCTCGCTGCGTTGCGCACCAAGTCATGCTTTGGGCGGTACTGGCGCTTGTTGTCCAGCATCATCGTGATCCCCTTGCGCGTGGAGACTTCGCCTGACCTGGTCGGTTTCTGCGCGTCCTTGGTGGTCTTGGTGGTCGTGCTGAAAGTTCCTGGCAGAGTCTTGTCGCCGAGTAGGTGGGGGCGTACCTGGACCACCTCGGCGTCTTCTTCCGACCGGTGGATTGGTGTGACCTTCTCGTCCCGGAGATAGTTGTGGAGGCGGAAGAGCGCCGTGATGAAGTCGCATCGCCCAGCGAACTGAACACGCAACGGCTTCCACAGGATGCCCCACTGGCCGACGAGAATGCCGAACGCTTGCTCGATCCTGACTCTGAGTTGACTCAGATAGAAGTTGAACGCGTCTTTGTCCAGCGGCAGTCCCCTCCCTGGGTACGGAGTCAACAGGTGGTCGCTTAGGGGGTAAGCCGCGTCTCCGAGCATGTAGAACCCTGGCGGCAGGTTTTTCACCGCTGTGGATAGATCCGAATGGTTCCATGCCGTCCAGTCATTGGTCGAGCCGGGTGCAATGCAAGACATGCTGCAAAACCGGTAGTTGGCATCGCATGTCGCCTGTACGTTCATCCCGTAGCCGCACTTGCTCCCAGAATAATACGAGAGAACGTTCGGAGTGTTGAGGGCAGTTGGAGCAAGAGTCTTCACGAAGAGGCCATCCCCCGCAGCTACCACACCTTGAAAGGCGCCGCCCGTGCTTTTTTCCTGAGGAGAGACATGGCAGGCGGGGAGGGACGCAACAGAGGCGCTCATAGATTCGTTAAAGTTTGATTTTCGGGCAGCGGCAAGCCCATCGACTACCCCAGAAAAAACGTACAGGTGTGTGCGAGCAATTAAAGACGAGCCCTCTCCTAGACATGCCAATCAATACAGTGCGACTGTTCGTGCCAATGTTCCCTGCAAACTGGAGCTCATTTCACCATGCATCAAGCCAATACGTGAACACAAGATATTATGGTTTCCCCGTGCTGTCACAGGTGCTTCCCGGTCGCTCCTCGTTCGGTGCGTCTAGACAAGCAGGATATTCTGCCGAGCGGAGGATCGACATGCATGCATCCATGCAATCGGCGTCATTTGTTTTGGGCCAGGCTCTGAAGCAGTAGTACCTTGTTTATTTACCATACACGTTAGGAGGCCTGTAGCCTACGGAAGAGGTGAAGTTGAATTGCTCTTTCGACACCAGACCCGGTAGGCATACCACAGCACAACACCTGTCTGTCCATTTTCGCCGCCTTGCCTGTTTTTGGCCATGTTCGCACGTACGTCGGTTCGCATACTGTAATCTATATTCGAAGTAATGTTGAAACTAAACCGCCACCAAACACGATCATGTGTTCGTTCACAACATCATAGTCACCTGCCTGGAATGCAAACATGCAATCTACCCTGCTGCTGTTAACTATTTAGTGTGTCATTTCCGCACCTCCCATTCTGCCGCCTGCCGGGTGCACTCATCCTCGCTCTGCGGAAAAAAGAACGGCCCAACCTCTGCTGTGCTGTTGATGGCATCCACCACCTGCCACAAGATGCTGAAGACCGTCTCCTTGGACACGCCGAATAGCACGGCGACATCGAGATACGAAGCACCGGCCATCATCCGCAAGCCGATAGCTAGTCGGATCTTCGTGGGAACAGCACCGCCTTGATACCGTTTTCCTGTTTCGCATGAAGCACAGAATAAGCATAGCGTGAACGTATCAGCAGACGAAAATAGCAAGTTCTGGGCCAAGAAAGTGTTACCCTCACCCTAGTCAGACACCGGAGGTCACCGTCCTGCTGGTGTAAACCGTCCTGCTGGTGTGAGAGTGCGGGCGGTGGTGCTGCGGGATGATTCGGATTGATTCCTACAGCAGTAGAATACACTTTAAAAAAAAAAAACACACCAACCGTGGTCTTCTGCAATGCTATAGCATACACTTCAGCATCAGCAACAAACGGAAGGACGGGAAAAACACCACGGCATGAGTTCTGCGCCTCGTACGTCTCTCTCTCCCTGCCCCCCGCCCTCCCATCTCTCCCTCCCTCCTTCTCGCTATTCTCACTTGCGTAGTAGTCGTTCCGTTGGAGGATCGGTTCCAGCAACCCAGCCAGTTTGTTGAACACCGGTTCCTCCATGCGATACATCCTACGGAAGAGCTTCCGCTTGTTGAGGTCAGCAGCGTGATCCTCCCAAACCAGGCGCCGTGGCTCGTGGATAGCCGCACGCGTCTTTTTAGCGCTAGCGTGCACAGCTACAGAGGTGACCACTGCCGCCGCACTCAGTACCAGCACCACCACAGCAGCAGCTGCTTTCATCTGCCGCACCAGCTCTTGGCGACCGGATGCACGCCTGAATCGTTGGCTCGGTGGGCCAGCACAAGAGGCGCGCCGCGTTTCCTGCGTTCCGCCATGGCCCTACCGCTATCCAAGTACCCTCCGCTGCTGCTTCTTCCTTGTAGTTGGTCCTGTAGGTCCTTTAGCTGCTGGGTTTGTTGTGATGCTCCAATTTATTTGGACAATTTGTCCAAAATTTGGAAGCTACTGAGTACAAATTTTGGCGCCCAGGTTCGTTCCCAATTTTTGGACTATATTTGGACAAACGCCTCTGTACAAGTTCCAGAATTTCGGACAATTTGTACATTTGTACAAAATTTGTACAAAAAAATTTCAAGTATAAAACGGCCCTGTGCTGCTGCGTGTATGCATACCCTGGCTGGATTAAGGAGAAATAAATACACGCACAGAAATACTACCCATTCGAGATATACCCACAGTCGAACGGGACGTGGTGGAGTCTTTTCAGTAAGTGGAGGAAAACCGGCTGGGTACTTGACTTATTTCGAGTCTTTATAAGTCTATACACTGATGATTTATCAGTGATGCCAGCTGGTGCCAAGTACAAACACATCTGTACAGGTAAATCTACATTTTACAATACATCCCCTGTAGTTCTCTACTGGGTCAACGACAAAATATCGGGGAGAATCCCTCCGTAGTGTCGTGTACTGTAAGATGTAACCTTCACAGGGGACACAGCGCAGTGTCTATTGACAGCTTGCTGGTTTTAGGAATTTAAGGAGAAATAAATAATACTTTGATGTAAAATCATGGAAGATGGAAAGAAGGCTACAGTAGTACATCATTCGTTTTTCAAACCTATAGATTTTTTATTTTATTTTATTTTTGAATTTCACGGGCAGTAGGTGTTTCACGCCGTTTTTTTTAGTACCTACCAAAAAAAAAATTTAATTTGACCCTTTGGGATAGCGTATCAGTGATGCTTACAGTAGAAGAGAATGGTACACCTGGTGCATGGTAGGTAGGGCATAGCGTTCAGTTTGTATC